TGATGTGGTTAAAAAAAATATTGAAAAAAAAAAAAAAAAAAAAAAAAAAACCTTTTGAGGGGGACCAACGAAAACACACTACTCACGACTCACGAGTCTAATAATAATTTCAATATTTGGAGTCCTATGTAAAAAGATTACCACTAACATTAAGATAGATAGGATCTCGATCTTAGTCCTGAAATAGATACACGCGTTTTTATCAACAGTTACATGTCTTGCGAAGGTAAGGATTGTTGGCCATGATCTAATTCAAAGGTATACATTTTGTGATTAAGTATGAACTCATTTTCTTACTAATTTAGTTCTTATATTCTTCTTAAAATTTTCTTTATTTTGTTTTCTCTTTTTCATTACACATTATCAATTATATATAATATTAACATTAATTGACACAAGTAGTTACAGTTTGTATCTTTTAATTAAGTTGTCAAGAATTTTAATTAAGTTGTCAAAATTTCAAATCTTAACCTTGAATATAAAATAAATTATATTAAAATTAAAGAAAAATATCTACTTATATATCCTCATAATCTTTGACAGAGATTAATTACTACTTCTAATAATAATCATAATAATCAATCTATGAACTTTATGTACACTTGATTTGTCTTTAATTAAAGTTTTGTTTACATCAAACTATCTTTGCGTTTTATTTTAATTAGTTGGACGAAATATTGTTGACCAAAAAAAAAATTGTCCGTACAGATGCTAGATCAGTGGAGCGTTGAAAGCAATGAAGTGTTTCTATTTTCTAGGCAGCGACGGAATCCATTAGAGGTTGACGGAAACCTACCGAAAGAACAAAGAACAGTTTCTTCCAGTTTGGATTTTTGAATGTTTTGTGTTACTTTAATGATCAAGAAAATAGTGACCTAGCTAGCGAATTATTCATGTGTGTGATGTTAATAGAAGACGCTTTTGCATGCAAAATATTTGGAACTCATTCTAATATTTCCCTCACGACTCTTCCTTTATTGGATTATCGAGTTTATGAATATTGAGTAGGACTTCTGGAAGAGCTCATCTTTTCTACGTTTTGTGTCGTATATTAATTGAAATAAAACACTATTATTAAATAACAAACAATATATTAAAAAAACAAAATATGAAGCTAGCTAAATAGAGAGATGCACTACATAATTTGGTTGATTGGCTCTTTTAGGTATGAAGGCTTAATTTGGATGGAGAAATAAAACTTATTTCTAATTTTTATATCTTAAAAGGAATAAATGCCTAACTATATATATAGAAGATATTCTTGATGTACACCAAAAACTTTAGTTATGTTGACAAAGTTCATCAGGTCACCGAATCACATTATATCATTTTTCGCCTTAATTAATTTTACAGGTTATGTTCACTAAATTTCTTTAGATACTAAGGATACAAAAAAGTCGAGTATGAAATGATTCTAAACATTAAAGTTTAGAGCGCCTTTGATCCTCAAATATGATAGAATAAATTTATAAAATAGAATAAGGTCAAAATAACTTTAATCTTATCTATATATTATTTAGTACATTTAATAACAAACCATATAATAATGATAAGATAAAATATAAATTATGATTATTCAATGACAAAATTATTGTTTCATTAAAATTATATATAATTTTTTAAAAAAGTAATTTATTATTTTTATTTTTTAAAATAAAAAATTGTAAATATATAAATTTGAATAAATTAAACAAAATCAAGTTTTATTTATATAGTAACTTTTCTTAAAATTATGAAAAAGTTATTAAATTTTTAAAATTATAATTAATATTCAAATATTTTCTTTATATGATATTTGAACAATAATTAATTAATTTTAAAATTTAATTAATAATATACTTTAAATTTAAATATCAAAATTTAACTTTTATATATATTGTTGTATATATTATGCAATGTTATATTATATAATGTAGTATGATATATTATGTAGCATTGTAATATGTAATATATTAATTATATAACATATCATAATATTGAGAGAACTTATTTTATTATTCAGCTTTCTTATATGATAAAAAAAATATGTTAGACTAACAAAATAGGATAAGGGTATAATTATTAATTATATCCTCATCAAACAAGAATTAAAAAAAAAAATTTATTGTAATTGTTAAACGAGTCTTTAATAAATATATTGTTCATGTAAAATTTTTTACACTATTAACAAATTGCGTAGAAGTTGTTTATAATATTTTTTTTAATGAATATAAGAAATTTACCATATTATATATATAAATATACTTTACAGATTTTACATATATGGAGTATACTATAATGAATTTCATTTATTATTTTAATTTTAATTCATAATTATAATTCTCACTTTTTCATAAAAGAAATATTTATAACGTGATATATTAATAAAAGAAGAACGTCTCGTGGCTACGAGAACGGTGTATTATTACTTTTAGGCCCAATTGTAATTACTAGCTGAACACTTCAGGTTGCTAAAAAGTGGAGGCATACCCATTCTCATAATCTCTTTTATTGTTGCATTAATTTATGTCCATTAGTTGTCAAATATCACATAAAAATGGTCCCAATCCAAAAGTATCTTTTATTAAATGAGCAACATTTGATATAGCATTAGGATTAATTAGGATGAGATGCGATGTGCAGGCCTATACTTACTGAGTAATGATGTACTATTCTCTTATAAAATATTTTTTTATTAACCGGTGACTATTATTAATCTTTTTTATTAACCATTTATAATAAATTTAATAAAAATATTTATGTTGCAATATCCTATAATTTTTAGAATAAATTAATAAAAATTTAATGTAGAACATAAATTATTGAACGGAGTACTTAGACTTACTTCTCCTTATATAT